GCCAGCTTCCCCTGGCTGAGGAAAAGTCCAGATACAGTTTTTGAAGAGCCACAGAAATAAACATTTTGTTTATTTCCATTTTCAAGTTCCTTGTAAGGTAAAGAGTCCATATGCTTCATTTCAGAGGTGGAATTTGGAATGCTTGCTCCTAGATCTGGAAGCTGGCATTGTTAAAGAGGATGTTCCAAATGCTGGAAGGAAGGGAGAGCCAAGAAAACAAAATTAGATGCTAGAGGTAACAGACTACACCAGCATCTCTAGGATTCACAGCAAAGGATTGCACTTCAGGTCAGTTTGGTTTCTAGCAGAGAATCTGTTGGCTCATTCCCAGGTCAAAACGATTCCTTTGAAGACTCTCTGTGCCATAAAAAGCAATGTAGAAAGTGTGGTGGGCCTGGGCTTGAGCACAGCTCTCCATGTGCTTAGGCTTAAGAAGAAAAAGCTGTCCCATGGACTGCCAAGCATGTGGAGTCTGGTTTCCTGCAGATTTCCTGTCCCGTCACCTCCATAACCCCTGGCTCCTCCACGTCTTCTGAGAAAACTCTTGCAGACAAGAAGGGAAAGAGCAAACTGGGGTCTGTCTTCTCCATGGCATCTGCACTCAGCTTCCTCACCTTGTCAGACAGCTCTCCTGTGTCATTCCCCGCTGCACAAACCCAGCAGGAACCAAATCATCTCAAAGAATTCAGTGCCTCCTCCAAAGCTGGGTGAGAATGGCTAATGAAGGAAGCGCTGCTGGGGAGGAGCTGTTGGGAAAACACACACTGAGATGGAGGTTGGTTTCCCAAGGACAACTATGCTAAAGGAATCGTGCAGTGGTGCAAGTGTTCCCACAGAGTTCAGTACCTGTTGGCAGTGCAGGGTGCAGTGGAAAGTGCTGGTGCTCCTGTAGAGCCTGTGACCCTGCTGAGAGCCCCCTGTCCCCTGGGGTGTTACTGGACATCCTCCCTCACATCCCTCCAGGTGAAAGGGAGAAAATGGGACACATTCCCTGGGACATGTTGGGATCTTGGGGTTAACTCTGGCCACGTGGAGAGGCTGCACAATGGGACCTCGGACTTGGCTGAGGCTTTTGCAGTTCTGGAACATGAACAACAATTAACTTTCAGTTTATAGCAATCTCAGTATGTATCTATTTACATAGCTGGTGAGTCCATAAATTATTCTCATGAAGCCTCTTTCACACACGTAGATATATAAGGCTGTTGCTGTGTATTTCTCCGGCTTTGGGTTTCCTTTCTGAAGCAAATTTAGGCACCTGGATCCAAGCTGAGCAGCAGTCCTGGCAGAATTTGGAGCTCTGAAAATTAATATCAGGATTTTTGATATAATTCCCATTTCTTACTGGCAACCAGGGGAAAGCTCTTGGTGTGGAGGATATGAACAAAATTAAGTGATGGCTGTGACTCTTGTTTTGCCAAGTAGAGACAGGTCAAATGCTTTGGGTGGAAAACAAACCCAGCTCTGAGTGGCACCAGACTCAGTGTGACGATCCTCATGTCCTCGTGTCCAGTGTCACTCTGAGTGTGTCCTTGGAGCAGCTCCGAGCTGGCCACAGCCCTGCCCAGGGCCAGCCGGGTCTGCAGGGCCGGGGGAGCGAGTGACCAGCCCGGGGCACAGGAGAGGGGTGGCCAAGCAGAGCTGAAAGCGAGCCCGGCCATGCTGAGGCTGCGGAGTGCTCAGAGAGCGGCTTTAAAATCCCCTCTCGGTGCCTCAGTTTCTCTTGCTGTAAAAATCGCGTCTCCAAGGTCGGTTTGTGGGGTGCTGGGTGGGGTGACCGAGCTGAGGGACAGAGAGGGGGGCGGTGGAGGAGGTGTCCCTCGGGCTGGGCAGAGCCCCGGGCAGGGCGGGACAGGGTGAGGGAGGGACCGGGAGGTGAGGGAGGGACAAGGAGGTGCGGACAGGAGAGGGCACCGTGCGGCACGGACAGAGCGGTGCCCAGCGGATGCGACAGGGACAGGACAGGACACGACAGGACAGGACAGGACAGGACAGGACACGACAGGACACGACAGGACAGGACACGACAGGACAGGACAGGACACGACAGGACAGGACAGGACAGGACAGGACACGACAGGACAGGACACGACAGGACAGGACACGACAGGACAGGACAGGACAGGACACGACAGGACAGGACACGACAGGACAGGACAGGACAGGACAGGACAGGACAGGACACGACAGGACAGGACACGACAGGACAGGACAGGACAGGACAGGACAGGACAGGACACGACAGGACAGGACACGACAGGACAGGACAGGACAGGACAGGACAGGACAGGACAGGACAGGACAGGACAGAGCCCGTGCGGCGCTGCCAGCTCCGGTCCCTGGCAGGAGCTGTCCGTGCGGGCGGTGCTGAGCCAGGCCCGGAGCGCGGAGCCCGCCCAGCCCCGGTGAGTTCCTGCGGCCGGGAGAGGAGCGGGCGGCGCCGGGGGCTTCTCCGGGAAGGGTGAGGAGCTGCCCGTGGGGGGACACGGTGCCCCGGGCACCCCCGAGCCCCGGTGTGGGCAGGACACGGGTCCCCGCGGGTGTCCCCGGGTGCAGCAGGGCTGGCAGCCCCGAGGGAGGCCCGGGGCTGGGGGGACACTCCCGGGGGCTCGGGGGGCTCGGGGAGGTCCGGGGCTGCCCCGGGCAGCGGCGGGGAGTGTGAGAGGGTGGGGATGTGCTTTGGGGTGCCGGTGGAGTTGAACCCCTCTAAAGGGGGTTTGTGGCAGTCCCGGGTGGGTAACTGAGGCAGAAAGCAGATTTTACTGTCTGCAGCCGGCGGGGATGGGCAGCCCCGCACAGGAGAACTCTGTGATTTCGGGTAGGGGTCCAAGGGCTGCCCATCCTCACAATTCTGTCCGTCTTTCAGATCCTGAGCGCTTCTCAGCCCTGTGCTTTTGCTGTTCTGTGACTTTCTAAAGCCTGCACTATTTGCTAGGTAGGCAACAGTGTCTGAGCTTCCCCTGGGCTGGGAATTGCAGAAATTGATTCCTGCCGTTGATTATTGAAAGAGTCTGGAGGTCAGGAGAGTTTCCAGGCTCATCAGGTTTCTTCCTCCTCCCCAAGGCACACTCTGGCTTTGTGGCACGTTTGCTGAAGAAAAGCAGCTGTTCAGGTCTGCAGAAGAAAAGGGCAAAACTGACAATCACAGAAAATGAAATGCATGGTTTTTCATGTAGACAGAGCACAGGTGATCAGGGCAGTCCAGCCAGTGTCCTCCCAGGTGCCAGACACAGACATGGGATGTAGGTTTGGGTTTAGGTTTGATTCTTCCTGTGAGCACAGGAATAAGGGCTGGGATGCAGAATACAAGGGTTTCCTCCTAATGTACCTGTGGCAGCAGCTGCTTGGAAAACTTCATCTCATTTTGAAGTCTGATTAAATTGAGGAGAAAGGAGCTTTCACAGTCTGTCTCTTCTCAGAACAGTGTCTGAGCAATGGAGCTGAAATCAAATTCAGCAGCTCTGTGTGCCCAGAGACTACGTGGCTGAGCAGTTTGATGCTGAAGGCTGCGCTGTGCTGGCTGTACCCCCGAGGACAGTCTGGGCTGAATCCCTCCCAGAGGAGTCACAGATTTAGTCTTGATTGAGCACAGTCATGTGTTTGGAATATTTCTGAGTTGGAAGAAAACTCTTGTAGCTGTTTCTGTCAGAAAAGATTGTGGATGTGTTTGGTGCCTGCACTGATATTTCTGCAGTTTGTGACTCTCCACTAAAGGTGACAGCAGAGAGGAGACCTGTGCAGGCTTCCCCATCACATGCTCACCTGAGGGAGCACCCTGATGGGAGGATCCAACTTATAACTTACTTTTGGACACAAAAGGGATAGCTCTCCATATTTCTATAAAACTGATTTATCACCTGTGTGTCAGTGACATCAGCACAGTGATCAGTGCAAGAGATGCATTTTCATCAGTTCTCTATTAGAATGAGAGATGTGTCCTTTGCAGGCAGCTCAAGCACAATCATAAAAATAGGGTTTGTCCTAAGTAATATGTCAGAAATAGAAATTCTTCTCCTGTGATTATTGGTCCTTTTTGCCAGCTTTGCCAGATCTCACAGGACACTTGCAGCTCCCCTGATGTATTGCAGGATGGAGACCTGCCAGGGATCTGAAGGAAATCAAATCCCACAGGTTTTGCCAGTTCTCTCCTTTGCTGCATGTGTGCTGAGGTGCAGGAACAATTCCTTCCAGACTGTTTATGCTGGGCCTTGCCCTTTCCCATCACCAGTGCAGCTGTGTGACCACAGTCCCTTCTTCTTCCCTGTGCTCTGAATACACAGATGCTTTGCTAGAACCTCTTGGAGAGGTGATGTACATGTGCTATGTTCAGCTTGGTCACTTCCAAGGGCTCCTCAGGAAGGTCAAATATGGACTAGGGGAGAACTGTGCATTATGAGAAATACAGGAATGATTCTCTCAGCTCTAAATGAAGGTTGTTTCAAATTAGTTTAATGAAGAACATTGTTCTCATGTCCAGAGTCACTTGGTCTGTACAGGAAGATATAAATCACTCATCCCTGAACACAGACACTCTGAAAAGCACAGGAGAGTAAAGAAGATCATTTCCACTGGGCTGTGAAGCATTGAGCATCCAGGGTGTTCTGTGGAGGAGATGAAATCACTTCCACCATGGCTCTGTGTCCTCCTGGCACCCATCACCCCTGGGAGCTGCCAGTCCCGGGGGTGTCCTGGGCTGCTCTGAGCAGCCAGCCCCTGTGTCCAGACACGCAGAGTGCTTCATGTCCAAATGTCACACCAGGCCAGGACCTGCCAAGACAATCGAGATGCAAAGGCTCATCAGTGAAATCCGTGGCTGAAGGAATGCTGATCAAGTGGGAGGATCAGCCTGATCCCATCCCAGGCCGCTCGGTGCCACGGGCAGCAGACTCAGAGGTCACTGGCCAGGAAGGTGTCACTGTGTCCTCTGGGGAACTGAAGGAGCTGGGCACTCCTCATTAGCCAGAATTCCCTCTCACTTCCATGTGTATCTTGTTTTACAGATGGGGAATGAGTCCAACACCTCAGTGTTCACCTCCACCTTATCGGAGAGAGAAGACCTGATTTTTGGCACTCTCTATTTAGTCTTTGGTAAGGAAAGATGGCCAGTTGATCCTGTGTTCCTGCCCAGCTGCCTGCCAGAAACAGTCAGGCCTTTTCAGTCACTGATGCTTCCAGAAGTGTCCAGTTATTAGCAGAATAATCAAACTTTCCCTTCCCATGTTACTCAAAAGTATGATCTGGTGACTGCACTCCGCCTCAGGTGAATTGCAAGTGTCTGTTATGGTTTTAAATATTTGGAAGGTTTAATACCTGTGAGGAATGTGCTGTAACTCTTACCACAGCCACCTGAGGTGAGACAGGCAAGGGCTCTGTTGGTACCACCAGCTTCAGGTCCATTGGAGGGGGTTTGGAGCTGGCCCTTGACTTCAGCAGGAGTTGGTAAAGCTAATAAAGTGTACTTAGCACAGATGTGAGACTCACTCTGTGGGAAAAATGCCTTGTGAGGCTGGGAAAAAGGATAAGCATCTCAATACTCTGCTAAAAAGGATGAACATCTCAGTACTCTGCTCTCCAGTGACTCCAAAGCCTCCAAAGCTCTGGACTTGGGAGTCCTGTTCCTGAGGAGAACTTTAGTGTTGGCCATTCAGTGGTGTTGGAAGCTGGTTCTTGCCATGGGATTTAATTTGCAGCCTAATCCATTAGGGAGGAACTCTTATCCTGCCCAGCCTGCCTTGAGAGCAGCAAAGATTCCCTTTCTGAGGACACTGAAACCTCTTTTCCATGAAATCACTATTATGTAATGAAAAAGAGAAAGCCCTTGTTATAAAGCTTTAATCACCACTGTTGATTTAAATACACTAATAGCAAACTAAGAGCCTTCTTTTGTTTAGTCTGCATTTTCCTTGATCTTCATAATGCCTTTATTCTTGTTTATTTTGTTACCCTGATAAGGGACAGTGCAGACTCACAGGAGTGACACTGCCAGGAAGAGATGACGAAGGCCAAGGGGCCCAGCTCCCTGGCCTCACATCAGAGGAGCAGTTGCACAAAGCTCATGTTATTTATTTAGCTGGGAGGAAGTGTCCCCTTGCTCCTTCCAGCTGCAACAAGTGACTTTGGCCAGGTCCCGCACCCGTTGTGGTCTCATCCCACCTCTGCCCTCCTACCGAACGCCTCTGTGGGATCTCAGGAAGGGGAAGGGATCTGATCCAATGTAAAGTAGCTCCAGATGTGCTCACAGAGCTCTGTGGGTCCCGTGGGCTCTCCTGCTCAGCCCACCCCAGAGAGTGAAGCCTGGAGCCCTCTCCACCCTCTGTAGACTTCTGCAGTGTTTCCTTCCAAACATCTCAAGATGCTCCTGCTTCCTTTCCTGGCTCTGTCACACACAGGACCGTTCTCTGCCTCCTCCACAGGCATCATGTCCTTGTCTGGGAACTCCCTGCTGCTGCTGGTGGCCCATCAGAAGAGGTCCCTGCTGAAACCTGCCGAGTTCTTCATCGTCAACCTGGCCATCAGTGACCTGAGCATGACGGTGACGCTCTTCCCCTTGGCCACCTCCTCCTTCTTTGCACACAGGTACCCGTGGGAGCGGCTCTGCACCGGCCCAGTTTGCAAACTGGGAACCAGGAGATCCCTGGCAGTGCAGAGGGCCTCGGGGCTCAGCCTGGGGACACGGGGGCACAAGTAAGCTCCCAGCCATCCCACAGCGAGTGTTTGGTGCTGCTTGTCCCTCCAGTTCCTCACACAGACCCGCTGCCAAAGGGGTTTGGTGGTGGGTGTCCAAGCCGGCACTGCAGTGGTGGGAGCTGCTGCGGGTCAGGGCAGCTCTTGCACCCCCAGCTCCACCCGAGCAGGTCGCTGGGATGCTCAGGGAACAAATTAGGAGCAAGACCATGCCCATATTCCCTTGCTCAGGTGCTGGTACCTGTGCAGCCCGTTGGAACCTCCCCACAGGTGCTGCAGGAGTGGCACCGGCGCTGGGAGATGCCCAAAGGGGAGAAGCGTGCGGGGCAGGGTTGCAGCCCCCGGCAGGCTCAGCTGCCGCTCTCCTTGCAGGTGGCTCTTCGAGCAGGCCCTGTGCACCCTCTACGCGTTCTGCGGGGTTCTGTTCGGGCTGGGCAGCCTGGGCAGCCTGGCGGTGCTCAGCGCCGTGTGCTGCCTGAAGATCTGCTTCCCGGCATATGGTAGGTGCTGGGCGCCTTATCTGATCCTCGCTCACACCCAGCTCTGGTAACAGAGTCCTTTTCCTTTTAATCAGCCAGATCCACCTCTTCAGGGAAAGCTTTGCCCCCGGGCGACCTATTCCCAGCCGGTATTTAGAGTCACAGAATCGCAGAAACAAGTTTAGGCTGGAAAACGTCTTTAAGACCATTGAGTTCAGCTGTTACCACAGCACTTCCAAGCCCAGCACTAAACCATGTCCCCAAGTGCCACATCTGTGTGCCTGTGGCACAGCAGATTGCAGCTTTTTGAATGTCCACACACAGATTTGAGCTTAGACTCGAGCAGACAGCAGCTGGGAAGCCACAAGCTCTGGCAGAGCAACGAGACCTGCTTTCCTTGGTCCCTGGTGGGAGAGCCATAGGCTAAATGTATTTAATTCACTGAAATAATTAATACAGGAGGGCTGGGTTTGCAGCTCAAGTCTGTAGCCCTGTTTTCCCCTGCATGTCCTCCACAGAGCTAGGGTGAATGATTGCACTGCAGAGAGCACCTGAGGAAGTGAGGGAACCCAGGGATGTTCCTTACACAGCTCCTTCTCCAATTCAGAGTTCTTCATTTCCTCAGCTCAGCTGCTAATCCCCTCTCTAGCATTTATCTTCAGAATAGACTTTGCATGAAAGACCAAAACCAGAAACAAAACGGGAAATCACACGTATCAGTTTGGTTTGCAGACCAGCACCCCAGGGTCCCTCCCACCCCCCTGTCCTGTGGCTCTCTGCCCATGTGCTCCGAGCCAGCGGCTGCTGCCAGCCACCAGCGTGTCCCCAGCGGCTGTCAGTGCCTCAAGGACAATGCTGGAGCAGAGGCACCTTGGCTATGTGCCAGCACAACAGCTCAGGAGGTGGCCAGAAAGGTGGGAGGAAAGATAAAGGTGTAGGTTGGCTGTGGAAAGGCAGCCCAGGTGACGGTGGCTTTTCCCTGCACAGCCTCTGCTCTTGATCAGCCAGTGCTTGGCAGCCTGACACTTGGGGCTTATCTACAGCCCAGCCCATCTTCTGTGAGGAAATGCAGAATCAAATTGTGCTTTTAGTTGCTTAGTTTCAAAGCAAAATGTTGCTTGTATGTATGTCTGAAGATTTAGCACTTTACGGTGAGCCTTAGAAGATCAGAGAGTTTGAGATTTGATGGGGGTTGGGACAAAAGCGAAAACAAAACGTCTCCCCCAGAGCTTCACTCTTAAGGAAGGTCCTTGAAGGGATGGGGTGGCCTTGAGGAGCCGCTGCAGCCGGCGCAGTGACCGCACGAGCTCCCAGCGGTGCCCGGAGCCCCAAGGAAGGGGCTGACCCTGCGGCCGGGGCTGACCCCGGTGCTTGTCCTGGCTGCTGTGCCAGGCCTGGGGGCGGCTCAGGGTGTGATTCCCTCTCCCCCTGCCCCGGGAGCCCCCCTGAGCGCGGTCCCCCCGCCGCAGGGAGCAGGTTCTCACGGAGGCACGCCGTGGGGCTGCTGCTGGCTGTCTGGGCCTACGCCCTGGCCTTCGCCACCGCGCCCCTGGCCCGCTGGGGCGGCTACGGCCCCGAGCCCTACGGCACAGCCTGCTGCATCACCTGGGAGGCCTCCAGCAGGGAGGCCACGCTCTACATCCTCGCCCTCTTCATCTTCTGCTACCTCCTGCCCTGCCTGCTCATCCTGCTGTCCTACGCGCTGATCATGTGGACGGTCTGGGTGTCACAGAGAGCTCTGCGGCAGCACACGGCGCCCCGGCGCAGCGCCCGCGGCGGGCACGGCCTGCTCCTCAAGGTATGGGCACAGCCTGCTCCTCAAGGTATGGGCACAGCCTGCTCCTCAAGGTATGGGCACGGCCTGCTCCTCAAGGTATGGGGGCACGGCCTGCTCCTCAAGGTATGGGCACGGCCTGCTCCTCAAGGTATGGGCACGGCCTGCTCCTCAAGGTACCTGGGCTCAGGGTCTGCTCAAGGTACAGGCTCAGGGGCTGTGGGGTCCTGGGGTGCCCTGCCCAGCCCAGCACCCACGGGCAGGTGAACAGCAGGGCCCCTCCTGCCTGGCGTCTGCTGCTCCTGATGAATCCTCCAGGTGTTTGTGTCAGTGTGGGTAACAACTCATTGCTCCCCATTTAAAGTCATCAGCTGGAGGAGTTTTCATTTTAAATTACATTGGAAAAGATCATAAAGGAGCTTGCATGAGTCATTGTTCCCCAGACTACAAGCTAATACTATAATTTACCAAGGATATGTAAAAAGCCCGGAATAACCTTTAAAAAATACAGCACAAAAGAAAATAGCTTGCAAGCCTGGCTTCAAAGGAAACATCCACATCCAGTCAGGGGAGGGGGACTGAGCACAGACCATTTCCAGGCCTCCCAAGCCACACAGGTTTCTGGAGGGATTTCCAGTGCTGCCAAAAGCTGTTGGGGTCCGATGCTGAGCTGGTCCCAGCCAGGTCACTGGGTCCTTGGTACCCATCTGCCAGAGAAGGCTGAGGCCATTCCCGAGTTTCCCAGGTGGGACAGGGAGTGAGTGGCCTGAAGCAGGACCAGGTCTATGCATGGGCTGTGCCGAGTTGCTACCCTGTTCTCTGACATTCCTGTACAGGTCCTGAAGGCTGAGCAGCTTCCCCTGGGGATGTGAGGGCTGCTCAGGGTCCTGCTGTATGTGGCTGAGTTTGGGGAGGGTGTCAGCATTCCCCAAGTGCTATAGGAGACTCACAGCACTGCTATCTGCTCCTTCTCCAGCTGAGCGTGGCCGTGTGCCTGGGGTTCCTGGCTGCCTGGACCCCCTACGCCGTGGTTGCGCTGTGGGCACTGCTGGGGGACGCCAGCCAGGTGCCAGCGCTGGCCTTCGTGCTCTCGGCCGTCTGTGCCAAGTCCTCGACGCTCTACAACCCGCTGGTGTACCTGCTCTTCAAGCCCAACTTCCACAAGTTCCTCTCCAAGGACAGGGTGCTCCTGCAGGCGCTGCGCACCCTCCCGTGCTGCGGCTGCCGGGGCGCTGCGCTCCAGCCGTTCCCGTCCCCGGGCTTGGGCGGCTGCCCCGGCACTCGCAGATGTGCTGATGCTCTGGAGCGTTTCAGTACCTTCCCTGGGAGCTGCACACCCCCCCGGGGGCCCGGCAGCTCGGCCCAGCCGGGCCCCCTGGCCGTGCTGGCCGGTGGAGCTGCCGGGCAGCCGGGGCTGAGGAGGACGGTGCAGGTGACGGTGCTGCTCACGCCGAGGTGGCCAGGCCCGGGCACTGCCAGCGTGGCGGGGGAAGCCCTGGCCTCGGCCATCGCCAAGGACCTGCTCTGAGCCCGGCCCTGCCCAGCTCTGTCCTACCAGAGCACTGGAACACAAATGCAGCATTCTCTCACCCCCATGCCCGGCGGGTCCCAGATGTTCCACGTGTGAAGTGACGTGAGGATGTAAGACCAACCCCTCTGGTTTGGCTCTTGCAGCTCTGAGCCTGGTGTTTGCACTCCCAAAAACAAGAACAAAAATAGACCCCGGTGCCTGAGATGTGCCCAGGGTACAGCCCAGTCTCTCCTGCAGTTTGCTCTCTGGGCCCTTGGCCTATGTTTTTCCAAACTGGTGCTCTGATGGCCAAGTAGGAAGTTGGAACTTAAAAATTGTGGCTGGCAGGGTGGGCTGGGGGCCATGAGGGACATCTACCTCCAGTACCAGCTCCTGCAACCCCATAGCGTCCTCTTCTCCTGCTGGGGAGTGGGACTGTCCATCACAGCTACCTCACCTGGGATTACAAAGCACCTCCATACAGGTCTCAGGGACTGCTCTCTGTGCCAGCTGTGCCACCCCGCTCTGTCCCCCTGTGTGAAAGTCACCACTGTCCTACAGACAGAAACGGGAGCTTGTCTTTAGGGTGAGCATCCCCCTGGAGAAGGGACTGTGGCTGCAGGGTGGCCCCGGTGCTGGGACAGCAGCTCGTGCCACCTGCACTTCTGCCTGGGCTGCAGCACCCTGCAGGACTGACGGTGGCCTTTGGAGATCAGTGAGGGCAGCACACCCATGGGTACAGCCTGGGACAAAAAGGACAAGAAGCTGCGCCAGAGCCTGGTGCAAAGGCATCCACAGGATAACCCCACCTGGAAAGTTCCCTGTGCCCTCCGGTACACGAGGGGATCATGCAGTATCTCCACTGACCGTTCATCGTGTTCCAGAAGTTGTCATTTCTAAAGTAAACTCACACAAAGCCAGCGTCCGACTCGGTTCAGCTCCGTGTTGGTGGCCACACTCCAGGATGACGGGAACGCATCTGGGGCCAGTGCAGAGCGGGGCTGGGGCCATCCCAGGGCCATCCCAGGGCCATCCCAGGGCCATCCGGGCCATCCCAGGGCCATCCTGCTGCTGCCCATCGAGAGGAGCCTCCAGAAAGGGACCAGCGGCCGATTTCCCCAAACACGAAGGGCTGCTGCCATCTCCTGGGGGCAGCAGCACCTGGGGCTCTGCAGGCAGCAACCTCTGCCTCAGCTGCTAGGCTGCTTAGCTGAGAACAGGAAGAAATCAAGTGCAGTCTTGCACGGGTTTGCAGATGACACCAAGTTAGGATGGAGGAGCTAGCTTGTGGAAAGAGGGTCAGGGTTTAATATTGGTCTGATAAAATAGGAAATTACCTAAAGTAACTGCCAGGCAAGTAAAAAAATAGTATTTCTTTTCAAAGCATATTAGGTGAAGAACTCCAAACTGAAATGACTGACAGAAAAGCCATTGTATTGATAAATGAATATGAGCACTGGGCACTATGGTAAAAACTTCTTTTGGTTCCAGAATAAGGGAGTTAGCTTTGCTCTCTCAGAATAAACACTTAATCCCAAGTTTTGACAAAGGTAATATTATGTTAAGTTTTAGACTAGTTGGTTTTAAATCCCACAATCCCCAGTGTGTTCACTGGAATCGTTTCTGAGCCATTCCCTCGGCTGCTCCAGCCTCCAGAGGGCGGCAGTGACCAGCTCACCTGGGGCAGGTGCGGCCCCAGAGCCACCGGGAGCACCGGGAACCGCGGGCTCGGGAACAGCAGCAGGACAGGATTGTGACACCCCGCTGTAACAGCAGCTCCAGCACTGAACACCGCAGGAGAAGCTCTCAGGGACCTTCCAGCAGCTCCTGGACATAAAGGCTCAAGGTGAGGAACGCAGTAGGAGTGATGGATTAGTGATGGGTCTAGAAGGGTGACAAAAAGGCCGATTTTCACGCAGATCCTCCCACGGACCAAGCAGGCACCGATGGCTTTCACAGCCTGCTCAGCGCCAGCTGTGCGTGTCCCAGCTCTGGGACAAGCAGAGAGGCCCTTCCCACAGGCAGGGAAAGGGCAGCAGGGCACAAGACGAGGTATTTTGAAAAACTGCTTAGACAACAGGTTCAGGAGTCTGAATACATTCTTGAACTTTTATTCTCTCAGTAGGTAAGCAATGGATTAAAAAGCGCAGTAGCAAAACCAGACCAAAACTAAGTCTCACATCTTCAGAAATAAACATGTGCATCTGCATTTCAGATTTGGGTGTTGAACTGTAATTCACATCCTGACAGTGGATATGCAAATGACCAAGGAGGAATTTGGCAGTGGGAGCAAACTGCTGCCTGTTGTCACCATGGCAAATGTGCAACAAACGTTCAGGTGTTGGCAACGCTGAGCAAACACTGGGCCATGGAGGACAAATGCAGAGATACCACAGATTCTGAAACAGTGTAAGCAGAAGAGAAAGAATGGGACAGCTTAATGGAAGCTGTTTGGCACGTCCCAGCAGAGGCTGCTTCAGCCATGTGTAATATTAATCTTTCTGTACCTGGATTAGATTTTATAGGCTCTTTTTCCTCATGTACATGCTGCATTTTCTTCCACTGAAGCTTAAAAATTTCACTGGTGAATTCTGGAGTGTTAGGGACACTTCGTAAATTAGGCAAAACAGAAGCTGCTCTCTCCTAAGATTTGAAGCCAAAGTGCCAGCAAGAAGCAACTGCCAATTACAGAAACCCAACTGCAACTGGCTTTAGCCAAAGAAAAGAAACTACAATTTCAAACGCAGTTCTGTGCTGTCACAGGCCCCCACTTCCCCAAAACCACGCTACAATCAGTACCATGGATTAGATCCCTTAGTATAAAAACAAAAAAATCCCATAAAACAGAAATCAAGAATCTTTTAAGTGACAAAACTACATTTTCAGAGGTGATTCCCTGTGTGTGCAACATCTGCTCTTGTCAAGATATGCATCTTTTCTGGGTTCAAAATGTGCAAATTCCATAAATTATACATTTCTTCCAGTCAGATTCCCTTACTAGTGCTGAAACAAATTCACAGTATAAACTGTCAAGATTCTTCATGCTGTGAATGAATATATTTTTATATATATATATATAAAAGGTAAAGTGCAATTCCTTCTGTTTTGCAGAGCCACCCAAGGGCCCTGTGCTGCAGGGTGTGCTGGCAGCAGGTTTAGGGATGGGAAGAAGCCCCCCCATTAACAATGCCATCATTTCCTGGCAGATGGTTCTGCTTTACAACGGGCTGCCTGGAATTTGCTACGCAGTGAAGTCTGAACAAAAGGTTCTTCCTTCAGCCCATCCAGCGTGTGACCCTTGTGGGTTTCCCTTCCTGAACAGTAACAGCAGAGCTGTGGGTTTCACTAAGCAGGGAGCCCAGGACGTGTCTGCAATGTCAAAGTTCACCCCTGGCCCAGCAGCTGCGGTGCAGTGGGGCTCTGGGCCCCTCGGCGAGGCGCGGGGGGCTCAGCGCGCGCCGGCCCCGCTCTGCTGCAGCAGCTCCTGCTCGTCGTCCTCGGAGCCCGAGGGGCCCTGGCGCACCTCCTCGTACCACTTGTTGGTCAGGGTCTTCATCTGGATGCGCCCGTCGTGCAGGTCCTGCGGCAAAGGCAGAGCACTCTGTCACCTGCTGCAACACCTCTCCTGTGTCGGGGCACAGCAGGGCCACAGCTGCACACATTCCTTAGGAAATAACCCGCTCTCTGAGCATGCACAGCCATCCTGTCTCCCACCAGAAAATACTGATCAGCTGCTCAGTGAGCAATTATCGCTACAGATGGCAGTTTTGGTGCTGGGTGTTTTTACCTGCTCTCTAGACAGTCCTGCTCTGTGTGTCTCAACAATTCCAATCCTGTCTGGAGGGCCTGGCTTTGACTCTCCTCGTGTTCCCAGGGACACTGGGAAGCTTGTGGCCTGCCCTAGTGATTCACATGCTTATTTTTCCAGCCTTTGGTTGCAATCTGGAGGGCAGCCTGTGCTTTTGGTTACCAACTACGAATCAGATGCTTACTTTGGTTTCTTGATTCCTTTCTGGTTTTGCAATAAATGACTTTAGCTTTTGTAGGAAAGTGCTGAAAGCATACTTTTGAAAAGTACAAAACATGAGGAAAAACAGTACTTTTGAGCCGGCTAGGAAGATGGAATGTGCACTTACACAAAATTACGAACTGCACTGCCAAAATGTTTCCATGGGAAACTTGAAAAACAGTGAATTCTGTGGCTAAGGAGCCTCAGATTTCCAAAGCATGGGAGTGAAAAAGGCACAGTATTTACACCTTGGGGCCACTGAGTGTTAAGTTACTGTCAGGTGGTGTTTTGCATTTACAGCCTCAGAGCCTTGGTCTCTGGAAAGTGAGCAGTCTGGAAAGTGAAGGGTGCAAGGCTGGTGCCTATTTCCAAGACAGAAGCTGCACCCTGCAGCAACATCACAGCTCCAGAAGTCACAGGACCACCAACAGTAAGAGGCAGGAGCTGTGTGTGACAGCTTTAAAAGCTCTACCCGAGTGGCAGCAGCTTTTTCCAGCAGTGACTCCTGATGCCCTTCATGGTTCTCTGCACAATTAAAGGCGAGTTCAGCAAATCCATACACCAAGTTTAAACTGGGGTAGCTCTGAGATGCTCATTTAGTCCAACTTACAGAGCAGCTGTTCATTACAGCTGCTGTCTCTATGCATGAGCAATACACAGATGTCCCACTGTCCCCACACAAGTCCTGTGGCTGCACGATGAGCCCTGGGTGGTACTGAGGACAACAACCAGCTCCAACAGTTTCTCTTCTTCAAGAAAATAAGAAAGACTTACTTCTTGTGTGAGTCTTCTGGTGAAGAAAGGATTCAAATACTCAACATCAAGCCGCATAAAGCCTTTGAGGTTCTGGCGTTTTATGTACTGGGCTTCATATTCCTCCTCTGTGAGCTCTGATAAATGCTCTGATTCTATAGTGTTTCCCTAGAAAAATCACAAATATTGGAATAACCTGAGAGAAGGGGCAGTCATCCCACCACCCTGCCTCAGCCTCTGCTCTGTGGTCTCCCTTATCACAACCAGTTGCCATGCTGGAACAATATGGAAATGATCCCCACCCCAGCCTTACAGGGCTTAGGGCTGTATGTGTTCAGCTTCTGAATCCCAATTAGCTTCCCTTTCCATGGGGAAAGGGAAAAGACCTCAAATGTTCCATGTTTAGTATTGTCACTATTGCTGAGAACAGGTTTCTACCGTGCAGGTTTTCTCTTGTGGACTTTGCAATGCTTTCATCCAGCAAGCACCACTGCTGTCACTGTGCCACTGGAACGAGCCCTGTGGAACACACCCTGTCCCTGCTCTCCTCCTGCACTTCCTTGTGTGGACACTGCAAGGTAATTCTAAAGACTACAGTCAACCTCATGCAAAGTTCTCAAATGTTCTTAAGATCCTCCAGAACAATATCCTGCATATACTCTTCAATGGATTAGAGAAAATCAGGAAAAAATTGTCCTGCAATACTTTTTATTCTCCAGTCTTTTGCACAAGAGGTTCCAGAGTGGCTTTAGCTTTGTCAGATCTCTTGCTTTGCCCGAAATTGCTTTAAAATAAAGTCCAGTCAGAGGGGGGGCTATTGTTACCACCTTCTCATGGCCTTTGAATTTTTCAAAATAATTTCTATCTGCCTTTTATAATTAATTTCCATCTCACATTGTACCATCTACTTTCTCTCTGTATATGCCTCAATCCTCTATCATCTGCTTTATGCTTTTCCAGGGGTTACTTTAATTTATATAGATTGACTTGTAACTGGATTGAATTAAGAGACTATTTCTCCTCCCCTTGTCCAAACAGGTATTTTGTATAAACATTAACCAGACTCTGTCTTTGGGATACTTGAAAATCAGATTGCTTGGCTTTGTCTTCCTACCTTGTATTTTTCTACTGCCTTCATCTTACTTGTTAGTAAAAAATCATGTGCTACTCCTGAAAAATGTTTAAACTGGAAAAAACCCCCACCAAACCCCAGTGATCCTCCAAATGAAAACCCCAAACTAACCATCTTCTCTGTCTTGCTAAGATTGACGTCCTTCTTGTTCCTCTTGCGTGGTTTGGAGTCCTCGATGTCCACGAGCCTGATGAGGGGCATGGTTCCCCCTCCCAGCAGCAGGATGGTGAACAGCACGATGATGATGGTCGTGGTGCCGATGAGCTGCCGCTTCTCCATGGGCTCCAGGCCCAGGTGGAGGCTGAGGGCATAGGGAATGGCACCACGTAATCCTCAGGGGAGAGAACAGGCGTCAAGGGAGAGTCAACCAGCAGCAACACCTGAGCACCCGGATAACTCAACTGCAATTCTCCACCTTCCAAAGGATTTTTACAATCCTATGGCATGCCCATTATCTGTCACTTGGCTACCACCCTAAAACAAGTCAGCATTTCAGACAGCATTGCTCAAACTCTGAAGCTGCTGGGCCTAGAGACAAGCAGACTCTAGGCAGAAAAGGGCTCACCAGAGCAAAGTCCTCCAGCACAAAGGGGAACGAGAACATTTCTCTGCACTTGGGTTTCAGAATAGTGCAAATGTTGAGTTTTGCTCAATTAATGAAAAACCAGTTTGTCCTAGAGTGGGCCACACAATGAAAGAGATCAAACATTTTTTCTGGTTCTCAGTATTTTGAGCTTTAACTTACCACTAAACCACATGATAAACATCATTTTGGGAGTGATTTTATGATCACGGAAGAAGTTGAGTAGGTAGGAAAGTGGGAAAATATTCACTGCTCTACCAAACAGAACCAGCACCTGAAAAACAGAAATAAAAACAAAAGACCATTTGATGTGTTACATCCACAGGGGCCCAGCTGCAGCTGGTTTTACAGGGGAAGGTGAATATGTTCTTTTTGGCCACAGGCAGGTGTGCTGCTCCATGAACAGAGAGAAACCCCTCAGCACAGGGCACTGTGGAATTTTACTCCTGAAACATTTTGTCTGCTTAACTGAAACTAAATCAGACCTGTCACTGATGGGGACCAGGCTGCTTTACTTATAATAAATAAATGGAACCCAGGAGGCATTCCAGGGAGACCAAGAATTACTTTGTGTAGAAGTGCTCCTCAGCTCAGTCATTCCCTTGGCGCAGCAGCCAAGAGGCAATAAGGTATTTCTATTGTCTCCCTGTGGCCCACTTGCTCAGAAAGGCCAGGAGCCAAACAAATAGCATGTCAGCCTGTTTCTCAACACTTCCCTGGGTACAGCTATAAAACATACCCCACACTGAAGCAACACTTTGAGAGCGGAAAAGAAGAAAAAGGGGACTATTGATTTAATGGCAAACAATTAACAAACACGGTGAAAACTTTAACTCAGAAAAAGGCAAGGTTTTCTCAGAGCATTGTTTTTAAGCTCCACTCCAAACAGACCTTGATAAGGTAAATATCCTAGAATTAGTCAGCAGGATCCTTGAAGGGCTGTGATGTTTTCCTTTATGAATCACTCCAAAATTACACAATTTGCATTATGCCTGAGAGGGCAGTGCTACACAGAAGGAAGTGTCACACCTTAGATGTGTATTAGATAGGGAAGTTGTGTGTGCAGGCAGAGCAGTTCCCTGTGCTGATATCCCTGTCTGGGGAAGCTGTAGGTAACAATCCTTCCCTTGAGCCGTGCACTGAATGGGCCAGTGTGCATTGCTGCACACAACTGGAAATGGATCCTCACTGCCCTCTGCAAAGGGGAACATGCTTTTCATGCTGATATTAAACCATTACAATGGCAACAGATGGAGGCAAGCCCCACGTGAAACATAATGCAGAGTCATGGCATTAAGGCACACTGAAATGGGTTTAAAGACAAGGAATTAGGAAAGGAGTCAGAGATTTTTTTTATAGAAACTATGAATGGTTACAGTTATTCTAAAATCTTTTAACTGTAAGGTGTTTCCCCCTTCCCCAATACCAAAAATGCATCTAAAAAGATATGGAAGAAAGTAAATACCTACTATGCACCAGATGACAAAGGACATTTCAAACTTGTGAGGAAAACTAAAAATTGACAGGCCAAGAAATGCAAAAACACACGTTTCTGAAAAAGAGAAATCACATCTTAAATAAACAATTCCAGAAAACTTTTTCTACTCCTGTTATTAATCACTAGATACAGTATATAAAATGGGATTTCCTGACCAAACCCTGGACAACTGCTGGTGCTCGCTTTGCAGCAAAGCCACTCCCTGATCACACTGCATCCTCCTGCAAACAATACAGAATTCATTCATGGCAACTCCCAGAAATCAGGGACATGTCTGTAATGCAGGAACATGTAATTTCTTCAAAGGTTTGGTTTGGAAAAGGAACTGGAAAGGCACTAGCACTCTGAGCTGCTTGTACCACTACTTCCAAAAACCTCCATGTGTGAAGTTACTGTTTTCTGCAAGTAGCTTTTTATATTAAAAAAAAAATAAATTAAAAAAAGATATCACTCAATCCCCATCTCCTAGAACTAAAAACAGACCAGAGGAACACACGAGACAGAGACTCTATTTGGACATCAATCTTATGGCAAATCTTAGCAGGAGCCTGTAGGATGAGAGAGAGATTTACTGCATATTTTATCCACTGTGGCAGGAAAGGTGACTTCTGAGTGCCTTCCAGCCTCCACTCTTGGAAATCCTTCTCTTAAAGACAAACACCATTGACACACAAATGCCTGGATGCAAATTCACACCTCTGGTGCTCCCAACACAATCACCTTTCCATGCAAATGACATTTTGAACTATTCACACTAGGTTTAACAGCAGGCAGCACCTACCACACATGAAAGCAACAGTTCTGAGTGTCTGCTGCATCAGGATCTGTGTCACTGGGGACAGGTTGTGGTGTGTGTAGTGAGACATCACAATGCCAGAGAACAGGATTGCCATGATACCTGTGGGCAAGAACGTGCCAGTCAACAGAAGAATCTGCAAGGATTTACTGCTGAGACCCTCCAGAGTAATCTTCTCACAAGGCAAGACCTGTTTCTACAGCAATATAAATATTTTAAGATATCAAACAGTGTGGTCAGAACTCATTTTGCTACTCACCTGAGAGTGAGATCCCTTCTGCAAGTCCATAAGGAAGGTAAGCAAAGATAATCATCATCCCAAATTCTAGGGAAGGTGTCTTCCTTAAATCAATGTGCTTTAGTACGTACACACGAAAATGTTATGGAAAAAGTAAATTAAAAAAGAAATCAAAGGAATATTTTGATGTGTTCATTCCATTCCAAAACAATGTTTATGCCTCATGTACTTCTCTACTGAATAGCCAATAAAATCTACATATGGGCCTTCAACTCAAGTATGGGAGGATTAGTAATTTCCTATGTGAGGAATATTTCTTATGGAAACATTTCTACTGCAGAAGTCTGTCAGAAGACAGAGCTAGAGACAAAAAAAGATCTCTTATTGATGTGCCTCTACAATACTGATAACAACAGGTAAATCAAATACTTTTGAGGCACAAGGGCAAATAAGCTGCTTTTCTCTTTGACTTAGTATAATTTGGATATGAGTCAAAGAAGTGTTGAACATCTCTCTCTTTTGTTGTGATGTATGGAATCATTTCAAAGTTTATTGAATTAGGCTGATGAACCAAAAGGGGAAATATGTCTGTGTTTAATCCAACATTCTATCCCTGTTGTTTACAAAGGAAGTGTTTGGCTGTGTGTCCCAGCTGACATGAGGAACTGCTGCACAGCTCAGAGCTCACACAGTGAACTTAGAGCTAGCATTAAACAAACCCAAAAAGCAACAAAAGTGGCTACAGCAAACAGCCTTCCTGATCTCAGCAGAGCAGCAGGAGCTTTTTAGGCTGTTTAGCAACCAAATCATAGAATGGACAAGGAAAACCACAACCCAGGGTAAATCCAAACAGAAGAGTGTCTGCATTCAGCTGCCTGCACATGATCCACAGGGACAAACGAGCTGGGCTGACTCAAAGGCCCTCGGGAAAAGCAGCTTTTTTTTCTTTTTAATTAATTGTTTTATGTATGTAAAAAAGAAGCCATATGCTTGTTAAAATGGATTGGTATTGAAATGGAATTAATAAATTTTGAATTTACAAAACAATTACCATATCTTATAACACTCCAATGCACATAAGCTATTATACAACATTTCAGACCTTAATTATGTTCATAAAAATTTGATGCCACTTTTAATACACATCCATGCACACTAAGATAAAACCAAAATAATGTCTAATAAGAAATATCCTCCAAGAAATGCTGGAGAAGATGAGAAGAAAAAAAAAAAATACTAGAATGTTGCAGTTCACCAATGTATATATGTATATATCACCAAAATTAATAAAGGATATTAATGCAGAAATAAGACCAGTAAGTGTGCCAAGTGCTGCAGAGCCAAAGAACATCTTGAGAAAGTATCCCAGTGCCTGTAGAAAGGTTTGCCATCCACTTACATCTGACATATTTTCCCTTGTCAAACCTTCTGCTGTGCTAGATACAATTAAAAGAGAAATAAGAAGAAATGGTTATACATTCTAAGCCTGGATCCAAAAATATCAAACATCTTTTGAGCATAACAACAAAAAAGACTCACATTTCTTTGTTGCTACCACTCTTAAAAGGCTTTTACTGTGATATATATAACAAGAGGAATGTCAAAAGACGTTAAATCAAGCCTTGGTGTAATCCCCAAAGGGAAACCTAATTCTGCTAAAAATCCAGCACTGCTCCTCTGAAGAATCCCAGAATGGCGTAAATAGGCTATGGTGATGCCCAGTATTTCAAAACAATGTTCAAACTTTGAAAAGGAAAAGAAAACACATTTTACAGTGGTAAAAACTCATGTGATCCTCTGAGAAGAACAAATGAACAGGAAGAACCCTCATCAAATATTTAGGTGTGGATGAGAGACAAGAAGGTCACTGAAGGAAAACAAAGCAGCTCTTAAGAGGAAAGGGGAGAAACCTCTTTGAATTTCAGGAGTATATTTCATGGAAATTCTGTGCAAAGAACACACAGATTCTATGAAGTGTTTCTCTTGGCTGCTTTTAGCCTTCAGCATCTCCCCCAAAAGCACCACAACTGTAATAAAATAAATTAATTGATTAGAAAGTTGTTTGATTTCACTACCTGCTTGTTATAGCTGTTCCTTCTATACATTCACAGTCACACCCATTGGCTTCAGCAATAACATGAAGATATATCTATCTGTTTTCCACTCTTTCAGCCCCAAAGAACTGTCATAGGCAATAGAGAAGGATGTTGGATGTTCCCCTTTGCCATGGCAGCCCCAACACAACACAACCCCATTGCCTGATGCTGCTGTATTCCTCCCCAGCCACTGTGGGACCCTGGGCACGAGCCAATGGCACAGAGACAGAGCAGCTCTGGGAAGGTGAACATTTCTGTGCCTGACAGGTGACATGTGGGGCTCCTGCTGTCAGGACCCTCAGATGGAAAAAGAGCTGATAATGAATGGAATTAGAAAGCAATCAATTAGGTCAGTGAGATAAGGCACTGAGGCAGGGGTAATGAGGCAACCATTTACTGTCTTCTGCCTATGCACTGCATGCTATGGATTGCTTTTTACACAGAAGCACCACACAAGATTCAGCTTTACACCTGAAATATACCATTTGTTCCAAAAGAAGATGGAAGAATTACTGTATATCTGAAAAACTAACAGAAAACTATGTAGCTACTGTTTCCATAAAGATGCACTTACTTGGTCAGGACAATTGAAACTGCATCATTGAGAATGCTTTCTCCAAAAACCAACATGTTAAGCACAGGATCCACGTTAAGGGCATTGAAAATGGCAATAGTAGCCACAGGGTCAACTGCAGATATTAAAGAGCCGAATGCAAAACTGGGAGAACACAAAAGAGGAAACTAGATGAAAGAAAAATACCAACTGGTAACTTACATGAACAACAGTAACAAAGCCCATTTGAGTTACAGTTTCTACACAGTGATAAGCTGTAATATCTTTCCAGTCCTATGAACTGGGCCACTTGCCAAGTTCTTGAAAACTCTACATTATTGCTACTGAAAAAAATTATTGTGTCTTTTAAAAGAAGATTTGCACGAAGAAGTTATACCCTTATGACATACATTAAAAATACTAACTAATCAAAGTTTACAAATCTTAAAAGTTCGGTTAAAATACTGTCTAAAATATTTGGTTAAAATATCTATCTAAAGAAATCACTGAGCACAGAACAGAATGGACTAGAATGCAATAGAATGGAATATAATACAATACTATTGGTAAATAAGGGTGTAATAAATAGGGTATAGGAATGTTCCATCTATTTCTTAGTTTCATACACAATGCTGAACCTCAGCAATCTAAACACTAACCAAAAGAGGTGGCCAAGTGCAGTGCATTTCCCACCTGCAGCTATCCTGAAGGAAGATTCATTTCATATCCTACACCATCTCCCCAAGAGCTTACCTGTCTGTCATGTTGAGTTTATAAATTACATCAGCCTGAAAGAATAGGTAGAACATAATCACAATCAACTGTGGTGTTCTGCTGCTCTTAAAAACCAAACTATTTGTCAAATCCCGAGTTCATTATTAAGAAAAATTCATAGCAGTGATGTTATCCAGTTTAACACTGCCCTCCAACAGTAATCTACTGCCACAATTCTGGTCACCCAAGATCAGGAAACTAGAGCAGTCAGGTGAGCAGAATAACCAAGACATTCAAAGGAAGGGAAATCTGAGTGGGAAAGAGGAAAATATAGACTGCTTGGCCTATCAGAATGAAGTCTGTGAGAAAAGATAATTATCTTTATCTATATGCAATCAATGGCAAGCACCAAACCACAGAAACAAAAAAAAAAAAAAATTAAAAATTAATATTGTAGAGCATAAGTTGGCTGTAGAGAACACAGGTTTTGGAACAGTCTTCCAACAGGAAGATTATGGAAGTTAGAAAAAAGTAAAATTCAAGTCTTAATTGCTTTTCCCACAGAACATGCTGTGTTGTGGAGTCACAGAGTGGCTCAGGTTGGAAGGGACCCCTGAGATCAACTGCTCCAGAGGGCCCTTGGAGCACGTTCCCTGGGATCGTGTCCAGACAGCTTTTGAGTACTTCCAGGGAAGGAGACTCCACGGCCTCTCCAGCAATATCCATGGAAGGGGCTGTATAACACTGCCTTTGTGAGAGCAGAGAAATGGACTTCGTGACCCAGGAATTCACTTGCACTCTATTTGTCTGCTCTTGAAAAATGGACTTTCAAATAACAAGGCAGATAAACTTAAATGCTTCAAAGCAGTAAGTCTTACCCGGCCCAGGAAATAGATTCCTCCACCTACAATGAAAGCTGATATTGCAGTGCCAAATACTGAGAACAGAATGATGGAACCAATGTTCTGAAAAAAATTACCCTGGAACATAGTAATAAAATAAGTAAATTAGTAAAAATGGCCCATGGGAAAACTCATGTTTGGGTTTGCATTTAATTAGATTCTAATTCACAAAGGGGTTTCTGATTATAAAGGCTCAGTTTGGTTCCAGAACACACATCTACACCACCTGCCTAGAGAGACTGCAGCTCTCTTGAGGACAATAGCAATTCCTCTGATTCCCAGGACTGATTCCCAGTCTGGCACCATGACAAGAACCCAATCCTCAGGCAAACAGCTGGGTATTCACCAGCACTGTGACATATTCCCCACCTGACAAAGTGTAAGTTACCCCTCTGCTGGAGACAGGCCATGTGAAAAAGCCTTGTACACTTCCCAGCTGCTGGTCCATTGCTTGTGATTTTGTATGAAAAGGTCTCCAGTGCTGGTACCAGCTCCTGGTATCACCTTGGCCACTGTTCCCTCCCACTCCTGCAGCACAGCTGGAGCAGAGGGGCTGCACAAGGGAGCACCAAACCCCCTGGGCCAGGACACGAGCTGTGAGAAATGTCCGTGGAAACAGGGGCCCCCAGGCAAGGGTCAGAACCTCACACACATTTTCTTTAGCTGTGGAGTGACTCCACCTTTCCCACTTCTGATCTTACACCTTCCCACTTGTCCTCCTTCACAGCAGCCCTTGTACAGCTCTGGTGATGTAAGCAACCTCTCCAGCCAAGGAAAACCTTGTCTGTGCTGTACCAAACACCTTGCCAGCACTCAGTTATCAGCAACAAGCTCCACTCCCTGCACTCTGGGTTGAAGAGGTTTAAATTTTGCACTCCCAATTCCCTAATGATTAATAAAATGGAATTTAATGCAATTATCCTAAGCTTCATGAAGATAATTAAAAGCAGAATCTATTCCAAACAAAACCTCAACATCCAAAATGAGTGTCTGGAAGGGACTGACCTTGTGCAGTGAATATCCAGACTCAAATATAATAGGTGGAAGCAAAAGCAGAAAAAACATATTTGGACGAAACATTTCTTCTTCCTGAAAAAAAAAAAAAAATTAAAAAAAATCCTAATTTCAGGGATACCATTGAAATACTACTGAAATAACATCAAATCTTCCAAAAGAAAAACAATTAAAAAATAGTGATGGAAAATGAAAAATCTTTTTCCCATCTTATCACAAAGTAGAAGACTGAAGAACAGTAAATTATTCCAGGGCTGCTACTTCTATCGTTCTTTTTCAACTCTAGGAGTAACTTATTTTAAATTATTGTCTCCCAAAAAGCTGCAAAAGAAAACACGTTATTTATGGTAAAGAAAAAAACCTTCCTGTTTCCACAAAAAGTATTCCTACTTCATCTGTGAGTCTGGAAATCTGTAAGGACTGCCTAGGAACAATGACCTCTTGGTCAGAATAGAACTGGTTAATGGGGCCAAGCAGTTTCACTGGGAAACTCATCCCCTGACAAGAAAATCACCTCCTCAGCCCAGTGGCCCTGCAGGTGACCAGGCTCAGGTGACACCTGAGGGGCCTGAGGCTGGATTCTTCTCAGCAAATGTAATTTCTGCCTGAATTGAAGGATACTATTCTGCTGGTTCCTTTTTGCCATCACAGTGTTATAAATGGAAGCCACCATGAGGTAAGGTGCTATTTTTTGTGTCCTCAGTCTTTGTCACTTATGTCATCCCCTGCCTAACACTGCTCATGCCGTACCCCCAGCCTGGCACCCTGGTTTTTCTGCTGGCAGAGTAGGCACAGCAGGGAAATGAATCCCAGCTGAGGGGGCCAATCTCTTTACCCAGCTGTTTACTCCCTCCTGGCCCCCAGCACCGAACAGGTTGGAGTTGTCACCTCCCAAACACCGATTAACTTGTTTAAACCCAGGGTAAACAGCTGATGGACTGTTCTGCTCTAACACCAGAGGTACTCATCACTTTAAAGTCTCATTCCTGCCTGTACCAGTGATAATCATCTTAAAGGATTTGGGGGGCTTAGAAAACAACACTCATCCTTTAGACTGAAATGCTCCAGCCCATGACTGCACGCACAATGCTGTGAATCACGGCTGACACTGCCTGCTCCTGTCACACAGCAACTGCACCAGAACAAAACCCACAGATCTGAGTCACTGCACTTGTTCAAAGCCCCTGAAACCAGAGCTGGACAAGGAAGTGAGAACAATGGAAAGGAAGGACTGTGTTTGTGCTGCATGGAAGCAGAGGAAAATAAAACATGAGGACTCTGACTATCAGCTGTGCTACCAGCAAGCACAAGGTCTTAGAGGTGATCTTGAATGAACATTTAATAAAGCATGATCACTAGAAATTACATAGCAAAGTTTTCAGGGCAGGGATATGATCCAAGATTTGCTTTGTACAGGGATATAGCCTGCTGTTAAATATTTCATTTTTTTAATCGTGTCAGATAAACAAAAGGTATTCTGTAAAATTAGAACCATTTATAACCATGTAATAAAGTCTATAATTATTGATTAGAAAATTTCACATCTAAAATTACGACAGCCTATGTTAAAACCTAAGCTTTATTACAGTGAAAGAAACTCAGATAAGCAAATAATAATGTGATATCTGTGGCATTTCACCTTGGCTGACAACATGAGCAAGCACAGCTCCCCAGTGCCTCCCAAGCTGTGACCAACACTTCCCAGAAAACCCCCATGAAATTCATCAGCTGTGATCAGTATTTCCCATGTTTACAGAATAAGTGCTCAGAGCATGAAGCTTTCATTTTCCTTCTTACATACATGATCTTACTCAGATTATTTTATTTAATCCATAAGAAACTAATTTAAAATGCTGATGTGGCCGTTTAACTGATTTTCAATTTTAAGTGAAATCCAGTTGACAAAAATCATGAATGAAAAGGCACTAACTACTGCAGCCCCCACTGTTTCTAGTGACTTCATACATAAAAATGAAATATTACAATACAACTGTTGAGCTATGTAATTGTTTAAACAAGTGTACACAGAACCAGTGTAGTTAGCTGACAAAAAAAGAAGTATAATATTTAGTTCAAAAGCTACATCAGATTGAAAAATCTATAAAAGTGCAAGCTAGGATTAAAATTCACTACTCAGACCAAGATGTTCAGCTGGCTGATATAAATCCTGTTCAGAACTGGCAATTCAAATCACCGTGACTTCAATCAGTTCACTGATATAATAAATTGCTCAGTGCTGTGAAACAAAATCACAGTTTAAATGCCTCAAGATTTTAAATTAAAGCAGGAATAGTGAAGAATTTGCTGCTTTGATAATGCTTATAAAAAGCAGGAGGAAAAATCCTTGCTTCACTGTAGACTTCAGCTCTTGAAGAAACTTCTGCCAGGATGTGCTCTCTAAAACATCAAATATTACAAAGACTTTTTCATAAGATTCAGGGAGTTTTCTACAATTAAGAATTAATTGTTACAACTATACCTTCCAGTTGGCCAGCTTTTGAGCCTCTATGATTTTTATAAAAGCTCCCATAAGGATACCTAGGAGAGAATAAGAAAACATTCTGAAATAGCCACAAAACAACTCACTGTTTATCACCTCTCCAAACTGTTCAAAGTGAAAACAAGGCAAAACATAGAGCAGCAAGTCTTTCATTCCTAAATCATGAAAACACTGAGTGGTTTTGGGTTTTGTACCCAGTTTCCAATACATTACATAACTGCAGTTTCCCTGCACAACAGATTGTCTCTTGGGATATCCCAACTCCAAACAGACCTACTGAGAGTGTGATGCTCACTGGTTCAGAGAGATAACAGGCTTAACTACTCAAAAACACTTCTCATCTGAGCTGCACTCAAATGAAATTCCACCTTTCTTGCTGAAGAATCAGGAAGTTCAGTTAGGCATCTGTGCTTCATGTCACTTCAATATTATCTGCAGTTAAAGCAGCTTAAATTAAATCAGTCTTCTCCACAGAAGTGAATTTTGTTTGAATGAAATCACAGCACTTTCTGGCAATGAGAAAGGCAACAAATACTGATCAGGGTGGAGATCCTGTCAGAACTATTTTCCAAATGAATTACACTCTGTTTAAGTCATGTAGAAATAATGTGAATACAGAAGAATTTTACCAAGGCTGCTGCAAACTCGGTGGTTAAAGGTTATTGTACTCTTTCCTCCCATACATCTTCAAACATAAAGACATAAAACTGTAACAAGATTTCTTCTGGAAGTCATGAAGATGACTCATGAACTGTCACTAATTGTTTTCAAGTAGTTATAGGGAACTTATCTTTAGCCAGATTTCAGATCTGTGTTTCTGCATAGCTGTGTTTTATTATTTACAGAATAGAGACTTCACAGTCAAACACTGGGACATAGAAGTCAAACACTCCAGATGAAAGGTACAGAGTGTCTGAGAAGCTTTAAGCATGCTTTCCCATAACTCATGTTGAGTGTGCTTTCCTGTAACTCATGAGACCTCCTCTCATGCTGTAGCTAACAAAAGAGTCTCACAAACAGAATCACATGGATTACTGCTGATGGATGTGTCACACACACAAAGCCATGAGGCCTAAGCCTTCTTTTATACAAAAATCTGTGAAGACATCGGTCCCAGAGGGTAGAAATAATTGTTCCATGAAATGGTTTCTATGGAAAGGAAGAGGAAAACATAAATGAAGGAACATCAAATGTCTGCTGTTCCTTGCAGATACAGCCACTCATATGCCACATACATTTACTCTTCCTTTATTACTAAATGAATGAACACAGGTTTTGATCAGCTGTTTCTACTAAATCAGGCAGGTCAGTTTTGTCAAAGGGCTAATTAGAAGGGTAAATCTGTAACAGTTAATCTATACCTCATTTTTTTGAAAATTTTATAGGCATTTTCTTATTGCAACCAACCTTTATTTTTCCTGAGAATACATTAAAACTCAGTACCAAATCAAAGAGAAAAAACATTTCTGGCAACCATTTTTACCAAAAAAATTCCAGCAACTTATATGGATGCGGATCAAAGTCCAGCCTCAGAGAATGCACTCCCATCCTGTCCACCAGGAGAGACACACCCTCTAGAAACCATAAACCAGAAGCTTCCAGTCAGCTTAGACAATGGGAGGAAAAACACTTGTGAAAATCATCTCTCCCTTCTCTGCTGCCACTTTTATTAGCCTTCAATAACTTCCTGAGAGCATTTACTTAATTTACAAGTCAAAATAGGACACGCCTCACTGGCAAAACTGGATACTTGAAACTCAGTAGTGCTCTTGCAGCTGTGCAGAGCACGGCCAGGACCAGAGGGTCAGTGAGCAGCACTGAGCTGGCAACTCCAGCAATGACACAGGTGCTGAGTGCTTTGAATATGACTGAGCCTATCAACTAACTCCATAAGGCTGAAATGACACAGGACATCTGTAACCTGGGCTGCTCCTGGGTATAACACCCTGTTGACTCCCAGGAATTGCATCTGCTGGTATCGCTGGGGGGATAGACTGCTGTGGTTCACCCCAAAACCCAACTGATCATGTTCCTGCACGGCCTCTGAACAGAAGAGATGCAGCACTGCTCCTTCTGACCACACTGAGTAGCAGCAACAGCCCCAGCAAGAAGCTTTCCTGTTTCTTGAACAGGATTTTGTTGGGGCTCACAGGAACACAGCACACAGTAATACCAAACCCAACAGCTAAAACCCTTCTCCTGCAGCTGAGATGCCAATAACAAGAAACAGAAAGAGGAGAATGCCTCTGCTGCTCTGCACAGCTCAGCAGGAACAGGGACACAAGCTGGCCCAACACCTCTGCTCTGCACTGCCCAGAATACATAAAATGACAGCAAAGAAAATCCAAAACTATGCCAGTAAGAGAAATCACTATACTGCTGCATTTTATATTGGGGATTTTGTTTAAATTTAGATTAGCTATTTAACAGCCACAGTACCTAACCTGATTTGAAGCCAAATCGACACCCTGTACTTGGGTTTTTGTGTACAAAGGGGAAGGACACTGAAGGGAGAGTAACGTCCTTTTGGCACCTTTCAGGACACTGGGAGATACACTCAAAGACATCTCACCTGTCCACAGCAATAATGTAAGGAGGGAGGGAAAGAGGAGTGAACCAAGCGCTGGATGGTTTCTGTGAGGATGATAAAGTGAGTCAGGATGAGCTGCAGCAGGCAGCCTGATCAGAGTCAGGTACAGAACCAAAAATGCACAAAAGTCTGATGGATGATGCTTCTATAAAGATGAGGGGTGTGAGCCACACCCAGCACTGGGACAGGATCCTCACCCACCTGTTTGTTTTTCTGTTGAACAGAAATACTGAAACTCACGTAGGGCCTTGTTAGTGAACGCTGCTTGAAGCTCCAAAACCGACTATGTGAGAAACATGATGTGGTCTCCAGCACATACAGTTATCTACAAATCCAGGGAGTCACACTGCTGGAAAATATGCTTCTCTTTCTGCCAAGTAACAGCTATAAGCTTTTTCTAACCTAGCACCCAAGATACAAGAAGATCCCTGTTTTCCAGGAAGCATAAGTTACTGACAAGCACCAGAAAGCTCACTTGCTCCAACTGAGAAACTGTGTAAAATTCTAGTTAAGAAATACGAGAGAAGATACCACCCTAGCCCACAATAAAAATATCTACCTTCTCAACCAGTAATATGGTCCTTTGAGCTGCCTCAGGATTATAACTAAACATCTTTGTCTTGTTGTATTTTTAGAACAACTGTCAGTGAAATCATCACCAGCAAGAGAAGCAAAAATATCACTGAATCTTGCAGACAAGTCACAGCTGAAAAACTGGTGCTGGGAACACTCAGACCAGGTTCCTTAAACATCAGACAGCATGCAGAGAAAACATTGAATGTATTTGGCCTGATTTGCTCCTCATTTACACATTTATAAATGTATAAATGTCCCCATACACATTTATAAGTCAGGAGCATACAAATAAATTGAATTACCCTGACATAAAACTATAGGCTCAGGAATACTCCAAATTTAATCCAAATTAAGTACACACTCTATCTTCATGCAGGGTGACACTTTTATAGCTCAAGCCATGGGAAGAGCTCTTGTCATGGTACTGCTGGGATAGTTAAGCAGCTGGCAGTCCAGGTGAGTTTTCAGGACAGCTGCAGTCCCCAGCTATATAAAATCCCACACTCAGACATAATTTTGCCAACACCAATATAAACACGTGCAGCACCTTGAAGGGAAGGCTGGAGCCTCATCACCAGGGAGTGTTGCACATCTCGTCCTACTCTGAGGATGCAATCTACAGGAAGATGCCAAAGTACTCAGGCAGTGACATCCCTATAGGTGTCATTCTCCTGGGCCAGTCTCTGCATGCATGCTCATTTCTTTACTCCTTCAATCAATTTAACTCTATGAATTAGTTGTTTTCTTCACTGCATCCAGTTTGCTGCATCTTTCTAGTGATGGCTAACACACAATAGAGCATTATCTCCAGTGCATACTACTGACAGTCCCTGGATTAACACAAATCCAAGATAAAAATGTCATGGTTACTCACCTAAGGAAACAACAGCCACGCTCTCTGGTAAAAAATGAAGCCGGTATTCTATCAGTAAATGCACCAATATGATGCAAATAGCTGTGAAGGGAAAAAAATGGAGATTTGGGAGTGTTGGAAAAGAATATAGTATACTTTAAGGTAGTATTTTTAAAAAACACAAGCAAATTTCTAATGATTTAGTAGACTTCACTTTGGCAATAAACCAAGAAGCACCAGTGTAAGCAGTAGCACTCATCACCATAATTGTTAAATCCCTGTGCCTATGCAAAATCCCACTTCACAGAGAGAACCAGAGGAGAAATAAACCACTATGATTTTGAGTCGGTCTATGTCCTCACACACAGACTACAGTTAACAGAGATTAACAGATTTTCAGTTCATCATTCACCTATAACAAGAAGACTAAAAAAAATCGTCATGCCACTAGACTGTTCCTCTTGCTGTGCCTGGACTCCAGTCTGAACGGGGAGGATGGGTTTGGGAGGTGTAGGTGCCACCAGCTTGGTCGTAGCAGCCAGCATAGCGTGGAGGGTGGCATTGATGACTTCATGGCTGGCATTTGCAGACCTGTTAGGATAACACAGTGTGTGATTATACTGGATGGGAGCAGCTCAATAAAGCCCATTACAGATAGGCACACATCAACCAGCCACCAGATCATACTGAACTCGTTACGGCTGTGTTTTAGAAGCGGTCTCCGATGAGGCAAAGATTCACGTTCAGGACAATGCTGTGCTGCCTCACGCACCGCAGCCCCATCAGAGCTCCCGGCACGCAGGGGAGCCTGACACAGAGGGCGTGACACCGGGCCGGGCACAGCACGCACGCCGCTGTCCCGGCCCCGCCGCTGTCCCGGCCCCGCC